ATTCTCCTATATGCATTTATATTTTTGATAGCTAATGGATAAAAGCATATTTTAGTGTTTTACTATCTAATGCAGACACATTTACCATATACAGCTAGTGCAGTGTATTCCCTTCTTTGTGAGACCAGTGTGCACTCTGGCCACTCGCTCTTAAAAGCCTTTTCATTTTCCTTCTTCACAAATACTGCATATTCATGAAGTGGTGAGTGCCAGAAAATTCCCCTTACTACAGAATTTTATAAGGCAAGCTATACCACACATGCACCCCTCTCTCAGTGTGTGGTTCTATATGTGGTCTATAATAATGCATAGGTGTAAAGCTCTCCACTACCTCCTGGACCATTCTGTCAGCCTGACTAAGTGTGCCTCAGCTCACCACTGTTCACTATGATTTCCCCTGGCGTCGAACACTCAGCTCCCAAAGCCTACGCACAATCCACGCACACCTATAGGCACTCACACTACAGGCCAGACACCTGTAAATAGTGAGGAAGATGCACGCGTTTGAAACCCAACACTATATCAACCATTATGGACACACCAGAGAGTTGTGAGCATCTTTCACCGGTAATAAACGCGGGTGCTGGCTGGGGGTTTCAGAGGAGCAGAATGTGGTACAAGACAGGCGGGCAGTGGGCCAAATGAGAGCGAGGAGAGAAGAGATAGAAAGCAGGTGGAGGAGAGAAGCGCATGTGTGGCTCATGTTAAACAGGAGCAAGAGAGGGGCACCAGGGACAAAACTGTGAGAGGAAGACAAGTTGAATTGTGCTATAGTTTGCTTCAATTGTTGGCTGTCTTTGGGTGATGTGCGCCACAGTATATGGGAATTTCTAATTCATTCTATTTTACATTTTGGGATTAATACTCCAAAAAGGACTTAAAGAGGGGGGATTTTTTTGAGCTTTCTACCATGTTATAACATTAATCCCTCATCAGAAACATGCTTACGGAGGTTTTACATGTCATCCACGCATGCTTGAGTAATTTAGCGATCACTAGTGGGCCCTATTCAAACTCTCCTTATGTCATAAACTAAAGTGAAACTTAAATAAAACATTTTAATGTGTTGTTTTTGGTAAATATAGAATTTTCTAAATAAAAGGTTCTAATCTAAATATGTGTTAGCAGTTAATAATGTACCAATACTACCTCTTTAACACCTGAATTTTTTTTAGTACACTAAAGCTTTCACACCTTCACACTCATGCCCAGGTTAGTCATGATGTCCAGGTCTAGTCCTGGTTAAGTTCTGGTCTTGTCTGGCTTTAGTCCTGGTGGTTTAACTTTATCTTTAGTAGTGTTTCAGATAGTGTTAAACCACATACAGGCCAGTCGTTTTCCAACAAATAGCTCTGCTTTTAAACAAACCAAACTTCAGTCAGGGCAGTTAGGGCTGTTAGAAGTCTTGAAGTCATGATGCACACTTCCAAAGCTCCATAGTTCACCAGAGTCATAAGAGGCTTAGACACAGTGATGGGGAGGGAGGAGAGGCACAAGTTAGGAGGAAAAGTACAGACATGAAAAGAGGGTGGGGATGTAAGGACACTGCTCCCAAAACAGGAATTAGCCCAATAATCGCTGGGAAGGGTTCTGGACATTTCTTCCTTTTTCTCATGTTCCTAACAGACTGTTGGTACATGTGTGATTACGCCTGTACATTTCACTGTTACTCTAGGCCAAATGTCACAGCTGTCCGATGCTGTGGAAGTCGTGTCAGCTCATTAAACCTGATGAAAACATTACTTCAAGCTGCCAAGAGGCTGCAAATCAATATTTAAACAAGTATCAATGAAGAGGAAAGAATCTTTATTAGTTCATTCAGACAAACTGCTCTTGTATATTGAGCCTAAGTTCTACAAAGACACTTCTGGGGCATCCCTGGACAAAAATGAGCAGATTTGACAAACACAGTGCAAAAACCCCAGAATAAATATTTAGATGAATATTTGTGTTTACAATGTCTTTGCGACTGTCAGTATAACATGAGTGATTCAGTGAGTAAATGACAACTGGCTAGATTATGAAAAATTAGCAATTCTTTGACCATTTCTTAAACCTATTTTGGAACACTGCAAACTGAATACCTTCTTCTTCTTACACAATGTTAAAAACACTAATACTGAAGTAGTATTCTGCACTAGCTTGGCCATGTGGTCTGAAGCTGCATGACATATATCAGCAGATAAAGCAAAATATAAATATTTCATATTTTTATATTGTTATGCTTAGGTGTCATATGTGGATCTTGTCCTCTAATATTTTTTCATCTAATCATTAAATTGTTAAAGCACTTATAGTCTAATAGCCTCTGAAGCACCTTTCAAGAGCATGATAACAAGAACACTCTCAAGTTCCTTTTCAAATAGCACATTTAAGACATATCAAAGTAAACACCATTACCAAGGTCTACCAATTATAAAACTCAGCGTTGGTGGAAAGAGCGGTGCTTAAGAAACAGCCTGGGGGATTAACTGGATGCACTTTGAGCTCTGCATTGTTTTGCACTGCCTTGGCACTTGTTAGCATTTTCTGTCCTCAGAATCTCCACACAACAATGCCCGAGGGAGGCTTACCTCTCCTTTAATGTGAGACAAATCTATTAGCACTGGCACACTCTCCCGGCACACAGGGGACTGTCAACATAATGGGAAAGGCAACTTGGAGCTCAGGGGTTCAAACTCAGGTGAAATTAGAGGGATCAAAATATTATGGCAGCCAAGCTTTAAAACTAGCCTCGAGGCAAAATGTGGTGCACTCTGGATTATTATCATTTGGTCCTTTCTTGGCAGATTTTTATAGTTAAAATGTGAATGTGATAGAATGTTGACCAATTTAATGGCTATGTAGATGAAATTATTATTATTTTTTTTTTAATCATTTGCTACAATATACTCACTACTTCATGTTGTCATATTCTACAGTAAGAAAAGACTCAGTAGCTATTTCAGTAGAAAAGTGATATAAGTACATTCTTTAGAAATTTTGAATAGAATATAAACTATTTGTAAATTAAAAAACAAAACAAATCAAACAAAAAAAAACAAAACATAGTGCTATCCAAACATTTCAGAGTGTGGGAAATGATAATAATAAAAAAACACAATTCAAAGCAAAATATTATTTATGTGTTGCTCTTTTTCAGTTAGCTATTAGTACTGATATGAGACTGTAGTTTAGATAGTATTTCAATTTTTTTCAATTAGTGAGAGATAAAAACTTCATTTCTGACCTATATCTGTACAATTAGCTATGCACAAAAAGCCCTCCTTCCCCTTCGCCTTGCCCTGAGTCAGAAGATTAGAAGTTCCCTGCCACTGCCACTCATGAGCCTGCTGGAGTCTCAACTAGGGCTGGTCTCCTGCCAGATTCGGAGGAGATTGGAGATTTCAAAGTCAAGTCAGTTCAAAGACTCTGCAGTGAAACGTTCAAAAGAACACAGTGGACCAGGGAGAACAGGGGGTAAAGAGAGCATCTTATAGTCAAGTGCAAAGAATAGGAGAGTGGGAAGGAGACTTGAAATGAGTGTCAGAATTAATACTGCTAATGGTGCATTCAGGTAAAAAGAGAAATAGTTTGAAGAAAGTTTGTCTTTTCAAAGACGCTAGGCTGTGAAGATTTTTTTAATAACTAAGGTAAATATAAGGTAAATACAGTCTTTGTCCTGTATATTGAATAAAACAGGAGTGGGGAACCTGAGCAGTGGGGTACAGTTTAGGAATAACATAAAATTATATAAAATATGAACTTGTTGTGCACGTTCAATTATATTGGTCATAAGTAAAAACTCTAAAAAGTTGTAGAAATTTTAAACAGACTGAGCTATTAAAAAGTTGCTCACATATTTTAGCGCAAAAACCTGTATCTCCATTATTCATCGAACACTAGACTGACAAAACAGAGCATCCATTCCAAATGCGCTCATTCACAAAGGTGTTTCATGTGTCACTGCTTCTGTTCGCTCACAATGATACAGTTTTGACACCGTGGTAACACCCTGTTTCCTGGGACAACAAACATGTTTGGAATTTCCTTTATCTGCTTGACTTTGGGGAAAGACAAAAGAGCACGTCCTCACTCCAGAGATTTATATGGGAACAAAGGAAGGTCATGTTCAGTATCTCAGAGAGGTGATACAAAACAACAGTGCATAGCCAGACTGGACTGTACTAGAATACAATGGACAACACACTATCACAGTGTCTTGATGGTTCATGTCTTCAGGTGCTGAGTCCTGTACTGAAATTTCTCCTGCATTAGAACTACTGCATCATGCCTCTGCTCTTCAACTCTTGGGTTACTACAATTTACTTTGCAACAAGAATAATAAAGATACTTTGAACACCCTGAACCTAAGTTTCAATACTGTGTATATGCTATATGCTGTTCTTACACTGTAATGCATACCTACTAGTATGGATAAATAACCTGATCATATTTCAGTGTTTTAAGGCAAAGCTATATTAACTTAATGATAGCATATCAGGACAAAAAATAGTGTTATTGTTTGTGTTCACATGACAGTTCTGGCTTGATGCTGGTTGAGGCTGGTCTATAGAGGTGGAATTAGCTGGAGCCAGTGCCTCTGCCTGTTGTTTTGCAGTCTGAATCAGCGGTCCTGCTCTTTCCTCTGTAAGCTCACTGGCCACAGGGAATGCCAGCTCATCGACTATTATAATGATGGCCTCCCCACTGTGCTGCTGCTTTGACTGCTCCTCTCATCCACCCAAATGTCCCTCTCTCCCTGCCATCCTTCTGCTCTTCTTGCTCAAACAAAAACTAATCCCACTTTGTTTGGTGCTATTGTCAAGTTAGTATGCAAAAAAGCAAAGCAGGAATGTTTTCAAATCAAACATGGTTAGTTATGTTTGGCAAACTTTACAGAACATTTCTGTGTCACCCTGCCCTATATTGAGTGACTTACCTCTCTAAACAGTGGTCCACTGATATGGGCCCACAGTGTTGGCACAAACAGTGGCTATGGTGGTGTACACAGTACTCACCTTGAGTTTGTCAAAGCGCTCAGTGAGGGAGCACACCTGGTGCTCGCGGTGACGTCCCACCAGCTTACACAGGGCACATATGAGCTGGTCATCCACCATGCAGTACATGTTGACCTTCTCATTCTCATGCTCCATGCAGGTCAGCCCTCGGATGTGCGTGTCTGGGACAGGCTCCACCAGGCGGTGGCTGGTGAAGGGCTTTTTATTTGGGTGAGTGGCCCTCAGACACCGGTCACAGTATGACACTTCACACGTCACACACGTCTTCACCGCCTCTCGAGGAGGGTCCTGCTCACAGAACTGGCAGCTAATACGATAGTCCATCTTGGCGATGACCGCTGGGCTGTGGTTGGCGTTGTTGTGGTTGGTGTGGTTACTATGATTGGCCAGCGAATGCGAGTGGCTGGAAGTGGCCGGGCTGCCGCGGGCGCTACTTCCACTGGTGCCACTGCCGCCGCCCAGGGTGCCTATGGTGGCGCTGATGGTAGCAGTAAAGGGCCGCTGTGGGGGCGGCAGGCGGCGGCTCTCGGTAGGGGAGTTGGGGCCACTGAGGGAGGCCTTTTGAAAGCGATCAATGATGTTCTGCAGAGTCACATTGCGCTTTAGGCCCTCCAGCCCTCTGTGATTCAGCGTGATGACGTAGCGGCACGTGGGACACTGGAAAGCAGATATTGACTCGAGTGGTTTGCTGGTGGAGCAATGAGACACCAGGATACGGTGGGCACAGTTAAAACACAGAGAATGGGCACAGGGCAACAGCAGAGGGTCTTCAAACAACTCCAGGCAGATTGGGCACGTCAGCTCAGACTCCAGTGTTTCCATTTTCAATTAAACCAATCCAAGAGTGACATCAATTCCCACAGAAGCTGGCTCGAAACCTGGAAGAGAGAAGTCACAAATAAGCACTCTGAAATTGTTCAAACTTTCGCTGTACTCTTATCCCCAGGTACTACTTTTTATTGAATACTACAGCAGAAACCACACACCCGCCCATTCACCCCTATCTGATTCTAACTCCAACAGGCATGAGTTATTGGATTCAGGTAAGAGGGAGTGGCTTGTGCACAGTCAGCAACAGTAGCACTCAGAGCTCACAGAGGCTAGCTCAGTTCATAGAAGTCATTAAAAAGAAATAATGTGAGAGGATAGTTCTTTATGCTCCGAGTGGCATAAGACTAAAGAAACTAAAGAAGCATTGCAAGGGAACGCTCCTACTTAATGGGAAAGTAGTGTGAACAAAACAAAACAATTGATTTCATATTTCACTTAAGTCACAGCACCTAGCATATCAAACTGTCTCCCTTGGGTGGCCTTTAATCCATTGGGAAGGAAAAAAACAATACCATAACTGTGTGGGCTTATCTCAGGTCTGGGTCTCCTCTAAAAGCAAACAAAACAGAAGTAAAAGCATTGACCTTAGAGACACAGATGATTTGATTACAGCAGCCTTTTGTGGGGCAGCTGTCTTTCTGTACCTCTGAAGCAGGATTTACTACAGTGCACCTCTGCACATTTTCACTAATCACAAATGACTCTACACATCTGGCACTGGGTTTTAATTTTATCAGTGACCTCACTGACATTATACTAAACAAAGGAAACTCTCACTTGTTTCCCTCCCAAATAACAACAACCTAACTAAAAAAAAAAAAAAGGATAAGATTTTAAAATGACACAAAGAGTTATGGTTTCTTAATTTCTAATATTCTAACTCCATGAATACAAGCAGATGGCATACCTCCACCAGGTCAAACTACGAGTCAGGTCAGTAAGAATTTAATTAATTACATTTATAATTTATATCTATATTCTATTCTATTCTATATTCTAGTCTATATTAAAAAAACAAAACAAAACAAAACAAAAAAAACAATGAGTAACAATATGATTAAAAATAACATCTCTAGCACTGTAGTTGCAGACAGTTGCACAACAGTTGAGCTGTTACTGGATTACATAATTATCCTGAAGTTGTCAAAACATGATTTTTCGTGTGAGAAGTCATTGTCTCAGAAATGAGTTATTCAACAGAATATTGCATTAGTATTGGCATTACAAGCTTCTTTAAATGAACAAGCCATGACAATATCCCTGCATCAATACGGCATTGTTTGAAAAACAGACAACACCTGAGAAGTCTAGTCTCTCAATCCTCATGTCTACATCAGGAGAACCCAAAGTGTGCTTGGAGAGAAAGCAGAAGCTCACTGAAAGCTATTTGAAACCCATTACTAGAGAAAAAAAAAAAAAAAAAGACAATGAGAGGTTTCACTATAATCATAGCGAAACAGTACTGGTGCGATTCTGATATGTTGTGTATCTTATCAGAGGGAATGGCACAATAGAAGCAAATAGAATTCATAGATCACTGTGAACAATCTAAATGGGCATTGGGTTCTGCTCGGTCACACTGCAAACAAAGCTAATCTATCTCCGGTGTATTTAGTGGTTCATTAACAAGAGCCAGTGATTCAGAAATAATACTGTAGCAGAGTGATTATAGTGGACAAGGATAAGGAGGTTAACACAACGAAGCCAACCATACAGCACTGATAAGACATAAGGGTAGAGGAAAGAATCATAATGTGGACATGCAATTTCATGTGCTTTATTTAAGGCTCTGACTGTACATTCATGAGCTCACAGTTGGATGCAAGGGTGAACAGGTAAAAGAAATGCAGTTACTTGAGCCTTGTGAAAATCTCCATTCACACGGACTAGTATTACTGAAGGAATCTACACTAATTACAACCTGTGAACACAGTGGTAGCAATCAGTAGACCTACTCACATGCACAAAGGTGGAAGATACCATTTGGATATTTTATTGAGTACTATTAATTTAGCACTATCTAGCTGTTTACTTCCCTCTTTAACATAACATAATAATACATAATTTCACATATTTATTTAAAGGTGCACAAAGTTACTTTTCTGATGGTGCACACACTACCTGTGAGATGTCCCTTTGCCTGTAGTTCTTGTAGTTGCCTGTAGTGTACTGTAGTGCCACAGTATGACTTTTGAGAAATCTAAACACATTTAGCTAGCATTTTAAAACATATTTCCATATTAGTTTAGAATGTTTTTACCTTATTTATCTGCATATGGTCTGGAGTTAGACAGAAGGACTTGGCTTGTAAATTTCTCTGGATGTCTTTATGTGTGTGTAATGTCAGGGACAGTAGTTGCATGCTTACTATGTCTCACACTACTTTTCCAGACATGATTATTACTGCACTTGTATAATCCAACTTTGTTTACAAGTCACAACGCATAACACTTCATAAAACCAAAGAAACAAGAAAAGCGATACAACAATTCTGCTTTGGGTTAAATATGTCAACAGGATACATACCTTTTCCCCTCTGTTTACAACATTTGATCAGGTTGCTGTGTGCAGACACGCCAACCTCACCTCAAATGAAAAACAACTGCTGGCTACAAGCACTCTCTCTTATATTCTTATTCCATACTCAATCAACAAGATTACGTTCTGCCTCAATCAATAGCATTACTGCCTTGGGCCATCATCTCTCTTATAGGCGGGCCTGTGTTTAAAACAAACTAATCTTATCTTTATGTATTACTGGGATTACAGACAGTCTAACATATGTCAAAACAAAAGGCACTAAATCAAAACATCCATTTGTTAAGTCCTTCAAATCAGCAGTGACAGGAACTTGAGCCATACTGTGCATTATATTGTTCCAGTCACACTATATCCCCTAGTTTAGCACAGGGGCAAACGTGAGCATGTGTGACGAGGCGTGGGCATATAATTAACACAAGGTTCTTAACATCATCAACAGGGACATTTCATCTGTGTCACTGGGGAAACGGTGCGAGCAACAATAGCCGGCACTTTTGGGGCAAACCTCTGGCACTATGTAAAACAAAGTGAAACAATTAGAGGAGGCTGGTCTCTCCCACTGGCTCCTTGCATATGTCACATACAGAGAAGGGTAGAGGGAAGTGTTCTGCCTGCAGAGGAAACAGATTGGGTCTGTGGGCTGAAGGAAAACACACTTGCTAAATGTGGTGAGCATGGATGAAAGGCGAAATAATGCTATACATAAGGTATTGAAGAAAATGTCTATCTAAAAACGTATCCATTAAAAAGATCATGGGAATGTGATTATTACAAAATAAGGCCAATTAAATACAATGAACCTACAATGAAAGGGATGATAAACAATTGGATTTAAGTAGTCCACCACCTTCTTGTGTCTGTGAGGATGTTATTGCTTTTCTTGGAATGTTTTACAATCTAGCATATAACTAATCTATCTCCATGGAGACAAGTATGTGGTAGGCCCAGTTACAAGTCACAACTATGGAAAGAAAAGCCTGTGTAAGATTACGTATTTGTAAAGACATTCAATAACAACACCTGTAACTGAATAATGTGCAAGTGCATGTTTAATGTCCAGTCAAGGCATCAAAATCTCGATAGAGACTGAAAAGAGGAATTTCTTATTATAATTTTCATTTCACATAACAGCTGTTTATCTTTGTCCTTGTCCCTCGAGGTTTCTTTTTTTTTTTTTTACATCTCCGCTCATCTGTCATTTCCAACAGTCTGGGGTAAACAATATGAAATGAAATGTTCTTTATAATCTTAAAACTGTGTGTGAACAAATACTGACCTGATCAATAAAATACACTCCAGTTGAAAGACACAAAGGGGCGGACTTAGGTACAGAGCTTGATGTAGCACATTTATCACTGACATAAAGGGAGGAATAAAAGATGTTAGGGCAGGTTTTAGTGAGGTTCACCAGACTCTGGGATGTAAGGCAGTACATACAGAACAGAAGCACAGATCAAACCCATACCAAAGTCCAGAACCTGCTTCTACAATATCCCTAGGTCAAACTTCTAAGACAGCCACCCGCTCAGAAGAATATCAATATTTCTGTAACACTTTCCACACAACACAGTATTCTTTCAGAGCAGCTCTCTCGTCTTTCTCTGAGGTGATCTGGAATCTATATTCACAGTGGGAGCTGCCAATCACAGGCTCAACGCACGAAAAAATGTCTGGCAGAAACTCACAAAAGGTTCTTGGGGACAAAGGTGAGTGACATGTGGCAACAGAAAATGTGCATCAAACCATATCAAATATTCTTCCCTCTAGTTAGATGTTCTCATTGATATCGGAAGTTTAGTCTAACGGAAAACAGACAAACTGAAAACACAGTGTTAAATAGTGCTAATATAAACACATTTATATATAACTTCTTTTTTTTTTTTCATTTACTAAAAATAGCTAAATGAACTAGGGCTTCACATTTAAGCACAAATTTCACAATCAAATCAAAATAGCAATTTGGGTTGGTGAAATTGTTAAATCACAAAGGCTGTAATTCTTTAGATAATTAAATATACTCTGCAAAGAACAAAATATCAAGTCTTTTGTATAAAAACATGCTCTTTAGACCTCTACAAACACATTCTGAAATGCCTGAAATTCTTGGATTTGTTTATCAGTTTATATTTCTGTCTTCTCTCAAATGTGAATGCTGCTGGAGTAGTTTACAATGTGCACTCTGATCAGAATCTAAGGATTTAAACATGATATATATCTCAAATTTCATAATACTCATCAGGAATATCAATTAGAATTTTTGTGCAGCCCAATAACAAACCCACAAGCTGACACATACCAACAAAAAATAACTGCAATGTCAGACTATCAGCATTGTGTGCAAAATATAAGAGGGGATTATAAACAAACAAATGTGTCTCTAAAAATCGATAATTTGGTTCTTTTCAGGTCTTAAAAAGCATTTCACTGATCAATTATTGAAAAAATCCATTGGTACAAGCAAAAGACCAGCATTACTAATACCATATTCTAAAATTCTGAATGCTCA